ACACCATATTGCGATCCCCTTTTGTCTCTTACTTGAGGTTACTCGTCTTCCTTTTGATGTAATATTCTGGAACGTTTTCCAGCTTTGTAGCACGCCCCTCCCTAACTTGAAAGGAAGTTACGCGTAGCAGCCTCCTCCTGGTCGCTTCCGGTAGCGCGCCAGCGTCGAAGGTGCTGCCATTTTGGAATAAACGACACACCGTTTTAAGCGTGATTTACTCTGCGCCTCCGGCGTTATTCGCGAACCGTGTACCAGACCTACGGCTACGTTTTTCTGTGTCACCATTTTGGCTGAGATAGATCTGCACAAGAACGCATGGTTTTGAATAATGCTGAAGGGGTTACCGGTAACCACTTTGGCATGATTAATTCCTAGTCAGGTGGGATCCGGAGGGATAAAATGAATACTATTAACCCCTTGAAACTCAGTGTGGTATTGTTTGAACTATTCATTTTTTTTTTTCTTTAATTGCATCGAGCATGTACCAGCAGGGGTAACGAAGCATCTACCACGATTTACATTTTTCTTCGAACGCTTGCATCGTGACCAAGTACATAGTATCGAGCGAGGCGTACTCACACAGGGGCGATCGTTTTGTTGGTCGCTTGAAGAACCAGCAGAGACCCCTTGGTCGCATCAAAGAATCGTGGCGGTGGGCGAATAGTCGTAAAAGCAAAACGTGTTCATGTTGCAAGGCCACGGGAGCGATATACTACGCTTGCCGGCAACAGTACGTGAAAGTACATCGCTTTATGAATGAAATTATAAATACGTGCATGCTAAGGTGATCGTGCACGTAATTCAGGTACAACCTGCCGAGTCTCTTGTTGCTCTTATTTTAGAATCTTTCGCGATCATCGATTTACCCCGTCCTCCTCCAACCCTTTATTGACTCGAACAATATTATCCGTCTGATTTGATGCGGTTGATCGATGAAAGAATAACAAATCTAAATCGATTGCATAAAAACTCGTCTTTGGAAAGGGGTACAAAATAGCACTTAGAAGCGTATCCATATGAAGCTTAAATTTTCATGAAAATGACCTTATGAACTCTTGGTGCATCCACAGGTGATACAGGGTTAGGTTCGAAGAATATTCGATTATAGATTAGATAGAAGCATGCGCGACCCTGGATCGTATGATGCAAATTCGATCCGCTAATAACAGATAATAAAATCGCATTTCCGACATGCTATACCGCGCGCCAGTCGACGCGGCGCTGGTGAAATTCTAATTATGTTTTGGACATGTAGCAAGCACTCTCATTCCGGGCACGGTATCAATTCGCGTGCTGAATGTCGTCATTCGAAAATGACGCTTGTTCGTGACAAACCAATTTCTTCCTCCTTCTTCCGTCTCTAAACACGTGCCACCTTTTGGCCGACTAATCGGTATGGCGTGTTAAGAAAAATTGGTTAAGCGTTTTGAACGTCGCGGAATTATTAATTTTTTAATTACAATTGGTATCTGATAAAAAAGAAGATAGAGAAGTTTTATACACGTACACGTATCGCGTGGAAACACGCCATAAGAGGGAGGTCTAGAAGCATTCGCCTAATTCGATAAATTCATTGAGGCCATGCTTCAGACTCACGGAAAGCAAAGTTACTAGGGAACACGGGTCCTTCTCCCGCGATTATTATACTCATCGATAAAGCGAATTCGATTAGTCGACGAACGTTCACTCGATTCTAGTAAAAACGTTCTGAGAAAATGCCGGTCAGTGGTACGAGGCTGGAAATAAAATGAAGGGGGGGTTTCTGGTCACATCGGTGGATAGAAAGATACGAAATTATCGAGGCTGTACGATCGCGTAAAGAAAACAACGATTATTGCTTTCGCGACTCATTGACTGACCTGAAAATAAACCCTACGGAGAGAGTTCTTTTTCCTTCTCTGTCCTCTGTTTCTCTCGTTCGTTTTTTACCATCGGAACGTCGAGACTGAAATCTCTATCGACCATGAAAGTAGCAGCGAAACGAGGCGAAAAAAGATTCAGTCAGCGTGCACACACGTAGACGTTCGAGCTAGGTATATTTTTAAAGTTTATCAGTCCGAACCAATTCGACGTACGATCGAACTGCTACTTACGGTTACGACTACTTCTGCGTTCACAATTAGATTTTCCATCTTTTTTAAACCGTACTGAAAACATCGGTCGACGTTCAAACGCACGCGTTCACAAGGTCGCATAGCTGGAATATTCGGCTCGCAATTTCACTCGTACTGTATACGAGATACGTATACATATAACGTTACGCGTTCGCAATAAGTAGATCGTTAATTGATCGTTAGCAGCACATTGGCGTGAGGCTTCTGGCACACTGAACGTTTCCCGCATATATCCGTGTCCGTTGCGCGGTATACTTTCCACTGGAATTTCCAGTTGGATCAAAGCGATTGACTCGTTGTTGTTTTTTTCTTTCTATCATTACATACGCTGGGGGAACGTGTATTGCAAGTCATACGATGAAAATTGTGTATCATGTCGGATGCTGCGGTCTCGAGATGCTACTGTCGATTATCGATAAGTAATCGATATCTTATCTTACGTCATCGATAGCACTGTGATTGTGACTTACGAGACACTCATTCCAGTTTCATACGCACCATTATTAAAGTCAAATAGATATAGAAAAGTATTTTCCTATTTAATATTTTTTTTTTTTTTTTCGGAAATTACATTCCTGTATCTCTTTTATTAACCACATGCCCCATATGAAACGTCAAATACAATTTTTCTGTCGGAAATCATGATTGAGTTAATATTTGAATGAACAAGTTTCGTGCACGAGTCGAGAGCCACCTATCGACCATTTTTATCGACCGCTATTAGCGGCATTCTAACGGTCGTGATTGCGGCGAAAATCGGTGGCTCAAAATTTCATTCATCCGAGATCTCGGCTCTCTCGTGCAGCGTGCTCTGCAATTACGTAAATCCGTCGTACGTATAGGGGCAACGTAAAGGCCAGTGTAATTGAATAGTAACTTTGTTAAATAAAAACTTGGAATAGAGTTGTCGCCGCTTGCTCGTTTTCCCGATTCGCGATTAAAGCGATCTCTGGCGAGAGAATCTTTAATGCTTCTTACTAGTATCGTGCGTGCATGCTGTGCACGTTTTTGGCTTGTTTTTGCATTCACCTCTCAGCACCCCTTCAACCGTAACCCGTCTGGCTATCCATTACAAACACGTACTCTGAGTATCGAAGGATTTGATCTACGAAGCAATCTTTCTTTCTCAATTTCCTTGTATCAAGTGTTGTGGATCTATTATTAGTATCATTTCTATAGTTAGAACAAATATATTTATCATTAGTTTTGATATTCTAAACGGATTGTTGCTTACGGCTGTTGTTTGATCAGATTGTTATTTTTGATTTGTTTTCAAGAACCACGGATTTTTTACTATGATACATGGAGTATTGAGTATCATCGTCGCGGAAGTTCGCTTTAACGAGCAAATGGCGACATTGGTTTAACGTCATGGCCTTCTACGTTAATTATCTTACTCTCGATAGCGCAATCCACGATTCGGAAGCCACAAGAACCGTGTTTGCGCGTAGCTGAAAATATATATACGATCATCAATTTCTGATTATCAGTTTCCAATTTGATACAGATCAACGAACAACGAGAGTTTTTCGACGATATTAACTTTTATCCAACGGTTACCGATAATTCTTTACCTTTTGTAGTAAAAATAGAAAAACTGATACTTCTATCAAGGGCTTAAGATGAATGAGACAGCAGAAATGCAAGTTTAAAGTTCATTACGTGGCTGAATCGATACGCCACCGTCGAAAAGAAATAGAAACTGTGAAATGGTAAAGTGGGACCGACGTATAAAAGAAAAAGGACAAAATAAAGTTTGTTCTGCCTTCTGTCCTCCTTTCCCTGTAGCGTGAATGAAAACTTCATTCGCGAGAACGATCAACCCCCAGGAGTAAACACGCTAATAAAGCTGAGTAATTTATACTACAGCTGCTATTTTCTCGTTCAAATTCCGAAGAAAACAGAAGCCATAAGATGTCGCTTCAACGCATGATTTTTTTTTCCCTACTTTTTACAAAAGTCAGTTGGCCTACTTTCATTGTTCGAAATAGTTTCTTGCGGTTGATGAAATATTTAAGTTTTCCTCAAAATGTTGGCGTATATGCAACCTGGTATATGCGATTACAATTTTCTCATGAATACAATGTTGCTAAACCAAGCATGATGCAGAAAAAATTTTGTTTATCGTTTATATAACAGGCGAAGAAAAATAACATTTAATATTTTGATGACGCCAAAGAAAACAGTAGCGAACGAATTTATGCACCTTGGTCATAGCGCTGCTAATGGATAACTACGCGTACACCGCATGGTGCGCGCGTGTCGTATGAGCTCATAACCATAACCTTACTTGACATAACCTCCAATAAGATATCGTACGATATATTTTGCCGGCAATATAATAGAAATGTATCAATGTTATGCATATTTTTATGATATTTACAGAGCGCAAATACTATCTCAAATAAATGTTAATCAATCTAATTAATTTCGTTTATCTATTTATTGTACCTCTTTATTTTATTTCCTTCTTTTTAATAATAAACTGTATTTATTTTACTTATTTTTTTAGTACATTTGTATTTATCGTATTAGTAATTTGCGAATGATTTTGTTACTGATCATAAATTTCGTTTAATTGCAAGGAAATTTTTGAGCTTCAATTTCTATGTAGTTGGAACGTTCGAAGTCAATTCTAAAGATGTTACACAGTCCATAAGCAAACCGAAAATAACTTCACAGACTGTTAATCCTACTATATTGGGATTGACGTATCTCGTAGGTGGCACATCAAGTGATTAGTATTACGAACGACTTAACGATAATATTAATGGCCGAACCGTGTATTTACAGCAAAGTTGCATTTGATATTATCATAACAATACTATTAAATTAATAGGTTTTAATTTAACAAAAAATTTAAACGACGTTAATCATTTGTTACAGATGTCACACCATCGGAGCAAGAAGAACTGTTCATCAGAAAGCTCCGACAATGTTGCGTGACCTTCGATTTTATGGATCCTATGGCAGATCTTAAGGGCAAAGAAATTAAACGTAGTACACTCAATGAACTGGTGGAATATATCACAGCTGGACGAGGGGTTCTTACAGAGCCTGTATATCCTGAAATCATTAAAATGGTAAACATATTTCGAAACCAATATCTCTAAGGTATAATTTAGTAGAAGAACCTTTTCAATATGATAATGTGTTTGTTAAAGATTTCTGCAAATCTGTTTCGCACATTACCACCTAGTGAAAATCCAGATTTTGATCCAGAGGAGGATGATCCAACGCTAGAAGCCAGCTGGCCCCATTTGCAATTGGTTTATGAATTCTTTTTACGGTTTCTTGAATCTTCAGATTTTCAACCAGCAATTGGCAAAAAAGTTATTGACCAAAAGTTTGTTTTACAGGTATGATTTATAACATGTGTTATTTTGTTTCTGTGCAATATTCGTCATTATTATTCGATTTATTTTTATACGAATTTAATGTTTCAGTTATTGGAGTTATTTGATTCAGAGGATCCTAGAGAAAGAGATTTTTTGAAAACTGTTTTGCATCGTATTTATGGGAAGTTCCTTGGCCTTAGAGCCTTTATACGTAAACAAATCAACAACATTTTTTTGAGGTATTTGTATATATAATAAGCATTGCTCTGTGTATGCATATACAATGAAATTTTACTTAACTAATCATTGTTACAGGTTTGTATATGAAACCGAGCATTTCAATGGGGTGGGTGAACTTCTTGAAATTCTGGGTAGCATTATAAATGGATTTGCTCTTCCTTTAAAAGTCGAGCACAAGCAGTTTTTAGTTAAGGTAAAAATTGTTAATGTATGAATGAAAATATTATAAATTCATTTGAAAATATCGTTTATCATTTATTGTTTGACAGGTGCTGCTACCACTACATAAGGTGAAAAGTTTATCATTATATCATGCACAATTAGCTTATTGTGTGGTGCAATTTCTTGAAAAGGATGCAACCTTAACGGAACCAGTTATACGAGGCCTCCTTAAATTCTGGCCTAAAACGTGTAGCCAGAAGGAGGTAATGTTCCTTGGTGAAATTGAAGAAATCTTGGACGTGATAGAACCTAGCCAATTTGTTAAAATACAAGAACCTTTATTCAGGCAAATTGCACGTTCTGTGTCTTCGCCGCACTTTCAGGTATTTTAATTATAAATCTAGCTTTGTCATTCATGAAATGATGCTTTAACTTTACAACGCTAAAACTATTTTAATTATAGGTCGCTGAAAGAGCATTGTTCTTTTGGAATAATGAATATGTAATGTCTCTAGTCGAAGATAACAATCATGTAATAATGGGAATCATGTTCCCGGCATTGTATAGAATTAGCAAGGAACATTGGAATCAGACGATTGTCGCTCTTGTTTATAACGTTTTAAAAACATTTATGGAAATGAATAGCAAGCTCTTTGATGAACTAACTGCCAGCTATAAGTCTGAAAGGCAAAAGTAAGTAATGTTCAAGAAATAGAAAATTAAGTAAGGTTTAAAGAAGTTATTTCTTTTTCAAGACAACACATGAAATAAAAGCTTGTCGATAGAGTTTTTACATTATCTATAGAAATATTTTATAATATCAGAGAAAAGAAGAGAGAAAAGGAAAGGGATGAACTGTGGAAGAAACTGTCTGAATTGGAGATAGAACGACGTAACGCGCTTACAGCTCCTCCTCCCCCCAATAATCCAGTTCCTGCCACAACAACAGCTTCGACACGAGCCCGCCCCTGAGCTGGTGTGTAATTATTTCTGTTGGTTATCGACTGGTAATTGATTTTCTTTTCAATTTAAATTTCTTATTATCTTTGACTAATCAAATATTATAAATCTGTTTCCAGGTGGAAGTACATTACCACGCTGCCCAATCATTAGCCCTTAGTTTACGTCGATTGTCCATACACTACATACAAAAAAATTACTGTTGTTAGTGGAGCAAAAAAAAAAAATGTTTCACGGCGGTATTCTTGACGTAATGTAATTTCTTTCGTTAGTTGTGCCTAAAAGGGCGAAATGGAGAAGAAAAAAATAATGAAAGGAGCAGTAATCGCAATTTTATTCTTCTTTGGCGCAATGATGATTGATGAGTTCTAATATTTTTATTGTGTACATTAATTTCTACTTTACCAATTTTTTTCTTTTTCTTTGACAGCAATGATTTAAGTTGTACAATGTACTCAGTGTCAGCACACAATACGAGAATGTTAGTCCCTTCTTAACTAAGGTTCAGCTGCGCTCGGTAGGAGGAGACGATCAAGGTGTAAATTCGAGTAGATACAGTATATTGTTATAATATTGATTTTTGCATGTGACATTTGCTTCAGTTACTAAATGGCTAATGTCCTCTCATGACTGACCCACCTTACTCCGATTCTCGCCTCCAACAGAGCCAGCAGGGGCGTTGTTTGAAATGTATCATATATTCGTATTAATAATAATAACTATAACAAAACATAATAAAATTAGGTAAATATATAAATATATATAAATATATATAATACAATATATTATAATAGTAATATTTGATGATACAAGTCACACATTCACACACACACGAATACATGAAAACTGTGGTAAATACGTGTAACGTACAGACCGATGTGCTACAAATACTAACATTGTGCTGACTGCATGCCCGCAGCAAATGGAATAAATTTTTTCAAAGAAAGAGAACCGTGATGATATGCGACAAGCATATCAAGAATAATATTATTGAATGATTAAGGTTTAATTCATTGAAACAAACGTAAAAAAATATATGTTGTTTTTTAAATAAAAAAGAAAATAAATAAAAAAAAAAATATGATGCGAGGGGCAAGTATACAATAAAAAATTTAATTGTACCAAAATATCCATTGCTTATAAATATAATAAATAATAGAGATACAATGCATAAGATTTATTCGGAGCTGTGCTCCCACAGGCCACCGCAAAGACGTGGGATCGTTTTTAAAGTTTCTTACCATTGCATAATAATAATAAACAATAGTAGCTCTTAATAAAATAGATGGTTAACAAATGAGTGACTGCTTGCTCATATTTTCATGAAGTAGCTGAGAAACATCTAACATATTTGTCTTATTTTACTTTTCCATCCTTCTTGTGTTAAATATGTTTTGTCTCATCTCATTGTACATTTTATTTACACTTGTACACTGTTTATCTCCACTTCATGAAAATTAATTTAAAAAAATAAATAAATTGAAATATATATATATATATATATTTTTTAATATATATATATATATATATAATTATTGTAAATGCTGTAATGTGACTCGAGGAAAACAACACGGATAAATTCATAAGAGTTCTATACGCATAAATAGACACTTTATTAAATGAATGTCTAATTTATTTCTACTCTCTAATTCTTTTTTAATCACTACTTAGTCGAACATCGGTAACATTGTAGATTGCTAAAAGTTTGTCGTGGCCTATGTTTTCTTTATTCCTTTTTTCTCTTCTTTCTCTCTTTGTTAAAGGTGTACAAACATCGTCCTCTTGTGTTGACACTAATAAAGCATTTTGATAATTATTATGTTTGGGGCTAACTTAGCTTTTAGTACAGTTGCAAATATATTACAATAAGAAATTCTAATGATATATTAGTATTTTTTTATATGGTATAAACTGCATTTGTATGACAGCATATAATTAACAGAATCGGATACGAAATATCTGCAAATAAGTACTTCCATTTTTTGCGGCAAAGTGAATATAATCAAAAAATTAGAACAATAGAGATCCTACGGATACAAACGCGAGCTACACTGTGATAGTCTATCGTACGTATTTATCGTTAAAATGCAATCATTAGTGATTATATTAGTTTTCTTTTCTCATGCAGATTACACTTGGAACAACCTCAATATATACGAGTAGTCCGAATTATAGCGGATATAATTTCATTGTAAATATATTTAATAGATATATATATATACTTCAGATACTCATATTAATCATTGTTAGGAACATAACAGCTGTACAGTTGATTTTAGAATGTAAAAAGAGTAACATAAATGAAAGTTGATTAATTTATCCTTGTCATATTAAACATAAGAATGATTAGCTATTCGTATAATAAATTTAAGTGCATTAATTCAATAAGATTAGTCATTATTTGTATATTTTAAAATAGTTGTTGCTTGATCACTTACAAGTATACAAGTAGGATATTCTACTGTAACCAAGTACTTTTTTTTAAATTTAAATTTAATTACAAGATTTCAGAAGAAAGATACGATGTACTATAATTGGTACTACCTAAAAGAAATATTCAAAAAATGTCACTTTTATTTGATTTCTTTATCTTTCGAGGACAAAAAGGAAAAGTTTTCATAAAATCTTTATTTATAGCTGCTTGGAAATTTTTTCAATGTAATAACTGGAGATGTGCAATTTATTCATTTTATTTGTTTAGGTACTCATTTAATAAGTGCGTACAGGATAACGAAAAGATGTGTGTTAACCCTGCGAACAAGTGGATATATGGACTAATTTATTTTATTTCATAGTAGGTCAACTATGGGTGCTTTGAGGTAGGTTATGAAAATTACTATTCTTGTAAAAAACCACAAAAAACATTATAATTCCTCATCATAAAAAGAATGAATTTACCGGAAGACAAGCTTTCGTTCATTTTGCGGGTGGTGGCGTAAGCGCTCTTATGACGTTTGGAACGCCAAGCGTGCAAAAAGAAGAGTCTAATGAATGATTTTTGTTTACAGTGTACTAATTAACAAAATGATAAGATAAATAAAATGCAAATCAATTTTCTTTTTAATAATTTATCAATTTATCAAATTTAATTAACAGTTCCCGTCTAAAAAGGCAATAGTAATTCATGAACTTGTCAAATTGACAACTCGTTGACAGATACACAAAGTGCATATTCATAATTCTTTCTTAAAATACTAAACACATTTTCATTTTTTGCAAACTTTTCAACCTTCAAAAGATTACAAAAAGTTAGTTAAAATGAACAGGAAAAGATTGTCAAAAAGCTCAATATTTTAAATTGTTGATATACATAATACATTGTCGATCCATTCATCCTTTATGAATGTCTACAATACAAAGGTAAAGGATACATATGTCAAGCGTAGTGTACAGTTTGACAAATTTTAAAGTTTTAATACGTTAATGAAATACATTTTTAAGATGATGTAAGATAAAAATCTTTTCACTTTTAAGCACTAATTGATACATTCGAAATGCATTTGCATCAATATTGCGCCTGCAATATTATATTCTGTAGGTTATAAATATCGACAATTTATCGATTTGACATTCGATCAAATATTTATCATCATGTTGTCAAGAAAGAATAAAGATTTAAGAACAATTAAAGAAGGAGTTGTTGGGAAATATGTTAAGAAAGAAACTCCTCCTGAAATGCCAAGTAAGCTGTTTCTGTTACTTATTCTAGGTATTTAATAAGAAAGAATTGAATAAAAAAACGAGAAACTTTTATGTTATTTCTTTTTAGTCATTAATGTATGGACCACAGAGCCAAATAGGAGAACAAGAAATCGCAATAATCATCCAACAATTCCAACATCAATGGTAAATACCAATTGTACACACAATATCAAATTCTGATAAGTAAATAAAAATGAATCTTTATGTAGTCAATCCCGCAACAACCCAGTATGGTACAAAAGTTTGGAAACACTAAAACAACAATGAGTGCAGTAGGACTGGGAAGTCATGAGGGAAAGTATACACCTAATAGTTCTGTTCCAGATTTAGCTCAAAGGTAATTATTTGATATAGTTAAAAATTATCTAATGATTTCTTATAACCAGAGAAGTAAGTTAAAACTTGTTCATTCAGATTTGCCAGTCTTTCTGTTAATACTAGTACAAGGGATGGAATGCCATCCCGTACTGCAACTCCAATGTATCATACTGGACTTTCACCTGCTATATCTCATACTTATGTTAATCAATATGCTGGATCAGAGTATCATTTAGATAGGGTCCAAACACCTCAGATGCCTTATAAGCCTTTAGATATCGATTCAGGCTATGAAGACTATAATCATTCAGTATATCATCAAAGTACAGGGTATAACATCATATTTTGTATTTCTATTATTACCATAAATGCATATATTTTTTGGTTTATTTTCATATGTTCAAGATATAGTAGATGCCATTCAGAAAGATCTAGTTCTAGAAACGAACAACAGGAAGAACTTCCTCTACCACCTGGATGGTCTGTAGATTTCACTCTTAGGGGTAGGAAATATTACATAGACCACAATACAAAAACTACTCATTGGTCTCATCCTCTTGAAAAAGAAGGCTTACCTACTGGTTGGGAAAGAATAGAATCACCTGAATATGGTGTATATTATGTTAAGTAAGTATAATATAAATTAGAACGTTAAAGTATATTATTTTTAACAAAATTTCATTATTTGTTTTTAGCCACATTACACGTCAAGCGCAATACGAACATCCATGTTATCCCCATGAAATACAAGCGGTACGGGTTGTATCACCTCCGCGTCACACACACTTTCATTCTCACAGTGTTTTAGTTCCAGCTAATCCTTACCTTAACGAAGAAATACCACATTGGTTATATGTATATAGTAGAGCATCGGTAGCATTAGATCGTAAATTACGGTGGGAGCTCTTTCGTTTGCCGGAACTCGACTGTTTTAATGCAATGCTTACTAGATTGTACAAACAAGAACTGGAAGAAGTAGTTATGCGTTACGAGGAATACAGGTATGTTGAAAATATAGTTTTCTAATGAAATGTTCAAGTAGATTTATGCAATAACATTTTTATTAGATCTGCTTTGTTATGCGAAATGGAACAAAGATTAAAAGAGTTGAATCCGGAAACTTCAGGAGCAATTGCATTACGTCAGTCTCTTCCTTAAAACTTGGTTAAGTAAATATTTTAATTTTTTGCGTGCTAAGAATGATTTCTCTAATGTGAATGAAAGAAGTGAATAAACATATTTTATTATTTTCATCTGTGAATAATATAAACTTTTTGGAATTTTAAAAAATCTATTTTATTAGTATTCAATAAATTATATACACATTAAATATTCAATTATCACCATGAATTATATTTGCAGCAGCTCTTAATCTTCTTTCTCAACTTTAGGTGTTTCTTGATCTATAAGATCATCTTCTACTAGTGTTAATCCCTCTATGCGTATATGTTTTATATTTTGACCATGAGCCAGCTTACGCATTAATGCATTTCCTGAAAAGTATTAAATTATAACAATAACTGATATAATTAGAAAGCATGAAATGGATCATTAAGTATATATATTAGATACTTTGTTCTTCTGGATCTGTTGGTAGCTGACTTATAACTATTGTATAGAACATATACATAAAACAATTCCAACTCAAAAATCCATATACCATTGAAAGATACATTTTTTTTTTAGCAGCATCTTCCACATTTTTTGGTCTAAAGAATCGGTATATGTAACTCAACATTTTTTAATAATTTACAAAAAACAATAAATATAATTTCCGAAATAAGTAATTATTCGGAGATATGATAAAGCCTCGGTCATTCGTCCATAAATTGTCTCATTTAGAAACAATATAATGATATATAAAAAATCTATTAATTTTTAATATAATATAAATAATTTCCTATTGAAACGTTTCATAAGACAGATTTATTCCTAAGCAGTGACTACAAACCCCAGTCACTGTCATAACTTAGAACGATACATGTATACAGCAGCATTGGCTATAGATACAAAAATAGTGAACATGTTTTATGCTCGAGGGGTTCCAGATACCCCAGGAGAAATTAGGTTTGTATTCAGTCACTCCTCCATTAATCCGCATCGATGATGATATTGTCTCCTTTTTTAAGTTTAGGTTGTAAATTAAAGTGTTGTAATGGTTGAATTTGTGTTAAAAACCAGAATTTTTGTAAAATAATTAAAACTTTCTCTAGTGCCGTAAAGGTTTATCTTCAATAGAGATATGTCATGAAGTTGGCAGTAGAAATTTAGGGATATTTTCGGAATTTATCTTGGTAATATTAATTGACGATCACTTTTCAGGAGTGTGCGCCGTGGGTTCATTCGTTCGGCGACAATGGCGGCAGACCTTGAGCAGTTTCAACAGCTTTTACACACACTTCTTAGTACGGATAACGATGCCAGAACACAAGCAGAGGTGCGTATGCCTTTCCCAAATTTTGCATACATGTTTTGCAGCTATTAGTTGATCGAAAAACATGAATTTCGTAAAAAAAGGTGTTCCGTTTTTGGAGCACGTTGCCAACGTGTTGTCAGAATTCGCATGTGGAGTCTGTTACCTGATCGCTACTATTAAACAGTGATTCATTGTTTGATATTATTATAAATTACTTTTATACAGCATTAATGCAATTAATTTTAGGATAAGTGAAATTGATAATTGTGATGATTACTGACAAGTGTTTAGAACAACCTAATAAAATCCAAAATGGTGTCGCATGATAGTATGCACTCCGCCAATCTTTAAAATAAAATCTGGAATTACTCCTAGTTCATTATAAATTTCTTGAATACTGTTTGGTATTTATTTATATTTTTCACGTATTTCTGTTGTAAATAAAAAGATTAAACAATTTACCTTTAAATGAAACGTCATATATAGCATAACTGCTTAATAAGATTGATAATTTGTGTATTTCACTTTCCCGCCTACACGCAACAGTATTTGGTAGGTTTCCGGCATTTCTGGACCTGCCTTAGTTCGACAGAATTTATACTAATTTTTTCGAATTTTATTCAATTTTCATTGTATTATTCTTCTTAAAATGATTGTTTTTATATTTATTATATATTTTGTATCCATTACATATGTTATAATAAAATACTAATAATACTCACGTTTATATGTCATTGTCAAGCACCATGTGCTTTATTTTTTATTTTTAGTACTTGTTAAAACTTAAATCATTTTTTAAATATTCTAATATGAATATAATAGCTCGTAATAAATATGTAATTTTTGTTGTAATTAATTAACAATATGTATGATTCTGGTGTTATTATTTAACTTAATGCATTGATTACTTAAAATGCTTAATGTTATTGAAAATAAATAAAATTTTATTCTCTGTATACCTAATATTTTAGGAGGCATACAACAATCTCCCAGTGGATAGCAAGGTGACGTTTCTGTTGGCCTCTTTATGCAATGCTACCCTTACAGAAGAGATGCGTGCTATGGCTGCCGTCTTATTACGTCGACTCTTTTCTTCTGAGTTTATGGATTTTTATCCAAAAGTAATTATATCTTTAATTTATTAGATCTTAATAATTGGTTACTTATACAAATGAAGGAAAGAAAACAAATGATTCTTGTATTTAAATTTTTATTCATTATAAATAATATTTAGTTGCATATACATATTAATGTACATGTACTGTTTTAGATTTTTTATTACAACAATACATTTATTGCATTATTATAATGTTTTTCAGATTCCACCAGAAGCTCAAGTACAGTTGAAAGAACAAATTTTGGTATCTGTTCAAAATGAACAAATCGACACTATTCGACGTAAAGTATGCGAAGTTGCGGCCGAAGTCGCCCGAAATTTAATTGATGAAGATGGTACTAATCAGTGGCCAGAGTTTCTGCAGTTCCTATTTCAATGTGCAAATAGTCCTTCACCAGCACTAAAAGAAAGTGCACTTCGAATGTTCACGTAAGCTTACAGTAGTGTTTTAACTGCAGATACAAACACGACAAAAATATAATTTTAAGTTACATATTTTATTACATATAGATCCGTCCCCGGTATATTTGGAAATCAACAAGCAAATTATCTAGATCTTATCAAACAAATGTTACAGCAGTCGGTCATGGACTCTGCAAATTACGAGGTAATATAAAATATGTTTCATGCTTGAATATAAAAATATTTTTGTTATTTAATATGGAAGATATGGATACACGAGATGCGTGTAGTTAAGCTTCTCGTCACAAAGTCGTCCTAAAAAAAAGTTGCCTTCTGATGACTGTGACTTGTGAAGTTTTAATTTACAGACAGATACGGGGCATACAAAAATTTGCCAACACTTTATCCCTTAGTTCAAAATTAGAACTTAGTATCACAGTAATATAGGGACGATATTGACCCTGTCAACAGATCATATATACCGTCGATACATTGCGGTGGTATAATTAGCAACACTGTTTGTGGGACAACTTGTGATTAATGACTTTTTTCTGTATTGCATGACTTTTCAATTATCCTAAGTAAATTTGGTTCATATTACTCCGAATATACTTCATACATATTTCATTTTATTATAATAATGTTGCTCGAACTACTATATAATTACTATAGCAGTAATTTTTGTTGTGTAGGTCAGATTCCAAGCTGTAAGAGCAATTGGAGCTTTTATTACTTTGCACGATAAAGAAGAAAATATTCAAAAACATTTCTCGGAATTGCTACCAGCGATTGTCCAAGTAATTGCTCAATCAGTAGAAAAACAGGGAGACGATGCTCTGTTAAAAGTTTTAATCGATTTGGCAGAATCAACGCCTAAGTTCTTGAGATTACAATTAGAAACTATAATGGAAATGTGTATGAAAATATTTTCTAACGAAGAGATGGGTGATTCGTGGAGGCAACTATCATTAGAGGTATTAGTAACACTAGCAGAAACCGCTCCAGCAATGGTACGTAAAGTTGGTGGGAAATATATTGCATCCCTTGTACCGTTGGTATTAAAAATGATGACAGACATAGAAGAAGATGAAAAATGGAGTTTCTCTGATGAGATTGTTGATGATGATAATGACAGTAACAATGTTGTTGCCGAAAGTGCTTTAGACAGATTAGCATGTGGTTTAGGTGGTAAAACAATGTTACCGCAGATTGTACAGAATATTCCTTCAATGTTGAATAACAGTGATTGGAAATACAGGTAAATATATGTTAAGTATTCTCGTGCTATTACATCACAGTAACGTCAGCAATTATATGCTTCGATGCAAATAACTGTGTTATATCTGTGATAGAATAACTTTCAAGTTTTCTCTATTTCTAACTATCGTTCTGATAGTTAGATATCTGAGATCTTGTAAGGTGTTCTTTAATAAGAGAGTTGACAATAATAACCCAGTATTATCATTGTCATAGTTTCAGAACATACATTTATATTTGTGCATATTTATTAACATCTTAACATAAAATTTTAGTATATAATTATAAAACGTTTACACTTAGGCATGCTGCTCTAATGGCAATATCAGCTGTCGGTGAAGGTTGCCATAAACAAATGGAAGCAATATTACCTCAAATCATGGAAGGTGTTATACAGTATTTGCAAGATCCTGTAAGTTTAATTATTCATGTATAATTTAATTTAAGATCCATGAATGGAGTCAGCAGTTATATTTATGGTACGAATATAATAGCGTTACATTCATGGTAGAGTAAATCAAAGGTGTTGATCTTTATACATGTTATCGTTCTGATAATATGTATTAAAGCACATCCTTTGGCGTTCCTGAGAGTTGGCTGATTCGTATGAATTAGCCTTAGTATTGGAACGTACAAGATTCACATGAAATGAAATTTTATGTTACATGTTTTTAATGACTGGATTTTTTCTCAGCACCCTCGTGTAAGGTACGCGGCTTGCAATGCAATAGGTCAAATGTCCACTGACTTCGCACCTATATTTGAAAAAAAGTTCCATGACAAAGTTATTCCTGGGTTACTGATGGTTTTGGATGATAATGCAAATCCAAGAGTTCAAGCTCACGCGGGAGCGGCACTCGTGAATTTCAGTGAAGATTGTCCGAAAAATATTCTAACGCCATACCTGGATGCAATTATGGCTAAATTGGAATCGATACTTACTGCTAAATTTCAAGAATTGGTTGAAAAAGGCACTAAACTTGTTTTGGAACAAGTATGTATACGAATTACGTATACTTAATTAAAAATAATACTAAACAGTAGAATAATTATTAATCAATACTTTACAGGTTGTCACAACTATCGCCTCAGTTGCTGATACGTGTGAAGAACAGTTTGTTACATATTATGATAGGTTAATGCCATGTCTAAAATACATTATTCAGAATGCAAATCAACAAGAACACAAGATGTTACGTGGTAAAACAATTGAATGCGTTAGTCTTATAGGACTTGCAGTTGGACCTGAAAAAGTATAATAATGCTATATTTATTTGAATAAATTAAGTATTTCTTTATAAACATTGTACGTAACTAAATGTTTTTGCGATTACATAGTTTATTGCAGACGCCAGTGAAGTTATGGATATGTTGTTAAAAACGCATTCAGAAGGAGATCTTCCAGATGATGATCCACAAACAAGTTATCTTATATCTGCTTGGGCACGAATTTGTAAAATTCTTGGTACATATTTCAAATTTGTATATTTGATTATATTTCTAAATAAAGAAGCAACTCAAATTATAATTATATTCTTTAGGAAAACAATTCGAGCAGTATCTACCATTAGTAATGGGCCCAGTTTTACGTACAGCGGCTATGAAACCGGAAGTTGCTTTGCTAGACAATGAAGATATGGAAGGTATAGAAGATCTTGATTGGGAATTCATTTCTCTTGGAGAACAACAGAACTTCGGCATTAAAACAGCTGGTTTAGAAGACAAGGCTTCTGCCTGTGAAATGTTAGTTTGTTATGCGCGAGAATTAAAAGAAGGATTCGCAGATTATGCGGAAGAAGTAGTACGACTAATGGTTCCTATGTTGAAGTTCTATTTTCACGATGGTGTTAGAACAGCAGCCGCTGCAAGTTTGCCATACCTTCTCGACTGTGCAAAAATTAAAGGTTAAGTAATTACGGTATATTATATTATTTTTATTATGAGGTAAAAATATGAGTATAGCATATAACAATTCTATTACAGGTCCACAATACCTTGAAGGTATGTGGGCGTACATCTGTCCTGATCTTTTGAAAGCAATTGACACAGAACCCGAGTCTGAAGTACTGCTTGAATTATTATATTCATTGGCCAAGTGTATTGAAACACTTGGCGCTGGTTGTTTAGGAGCACAACCTATGGCAGAACTTCTGCGCATATTAGATAAATTGCTTAACAAACATTTTGAAAGAGCAGTGGCTCGATTGGAGAAACGTAAAGATGAAGATTACGATGAAGTAAGATTTTACATCAAACATATGATGTCATACGTATGTACAATATTATAATTATTATTAATTAAAATTATAGGTTGTTGAGGAACAACTAGCCGATGAAGATAACGAAGATGTATATACTTTAAGTAAAATAGGAGATATTTTACATGCTTTGTTTAGTACACACAAGTCTGCATTTTTCCCTTTCTTCGATCAAATCTGTGGACATTTTGTTAAATTGTTAAGTCCTGAAAGGTCTTGGTCAGATCACCAATGGGCTTTATGCGTTTTCGACGACGTCATAGAGTTCGGTGGACCTGAATGTGCAAAATATCAAGAATATTTTCTGCGACCAATGTTACAGTACGTATCAGATAAATCAGCAGAAGTGAGACAAGCTGCAGCATATGGTTGCGGGGTCTTGGGGCAGTATGGAGGAGAAGCATTTGCTCAAGCATGTGCAGAGGCGTTACCTAGGTTAATGGAAGTTATAAACGACCCAGAATCTAGATCGCCGGAAAATGTGAATCCTACTGAAAATGCTATTTCTGCAGTAACAAAAATTCTTAAGTATAACCATAAAGCAATCAACGTTGATGAAATACTTCCTCATTGGTAAGTTTTTAATTCATCATGTAGTAAATTAATTATAGTTCAATATTTCATTTTTATTTATTTAATTGTAGGCTTTCTTGGCTACCAGTGGTAGAAGATGAAGATGAAGCACCTTACGTTTATGGATATCTGTGTGATTTGATCGAAGCAAATCATGTAGCAGTTTTAGGACCAAATAATGCTAATCTACCTCGACTAATAAGTTACTTTGCAGAAGCACTTTTTAAAGATGCAGTACCTATAGATAATCCTGTCATGGGTAGAATTCTTAGTATTGTTAGACAAATACAGGTATGATAAATGTTAGCGTTATGTTTTTGCGCTCTGTGTAATAATAATAATAATTTAATTTGTTTCAGAACAACGAGTCTATGTTCCAGGCATGTATAAATGCATTAACAGCGGATCAACAACAAGCGTTGCATGAGGCACTTAGTGCATAGCCTACTAATTAGCTATTTGCTTTTACCCCAGAACTTTAACACCTTAATATAAAACAAAAAAAAACATTTGCTTTAATAAAGTTTACGGAGAAATCACAAATTTTAGGTAGCTACATTATACCTATGGAACATGCGCCAGCCTAATTATGAACAGACACAACTGTACGTAATTGATATATCTCGCATATTTGTTGATTGTATTTCATTAATTTGATACAATAGTAATCTCATTTTTTACTATTTGGAATTGTTGCAAATTATATAAAACAAACTTGTGCTTCTCACTACTCGGCGAGTTGTGATATGTTGCACAGAAATCTAGCGATATGAAAATAATTGAGTCATTTGTGAGTTCGCATTGACGAAATTTCTACAATTTGTTCCCATTCGTATCGTTCATAAAAATGATGTACATATACGGGTTTACTTTAACGTAACAAAATTAGTACAAGACTATTTTCCGCCATTGAAAGCCGAACGATGCTAAATTATTACTTTTTTTTTTTTATATATATATATATAGCTTTGTAAATTGCTTAACGTTTCTAAATTTTATTTCTAAATTTCTTGTAGCATTGCTCTGAGGACATTGGAGAAGTTTTTGTCACTGCGATCTCTTCGTCCCAATTGTCTGTATTTTGAATCAACTTCTTTGGCAGAACGATAAAACTGCAAAAAATAGACTGGAAAAACACCAACTCGTTGCTATCGAACGGTGGCAGAACATATTGTGATTTAGGTATTTTTATTATTAAATTTAGGTGCAGTAAATGTTATTTAATAATAATATCGATAATATTACAGCGTTGAAGTTAGAACTGTATACGAATGCCTTTTACATGAAACGTAATGAACTGCTCTATAAAATTTAAGATTTGGATAAATAACGATGTATAGTATATTAAATTTTCTGTTAACTCTAATTTAACGAGTTGTGTTTTATAAAACAAAAGCAAAAGAAAAGATAAAGAAACATATTTTCAGTTTTATATAAAAATTGTATTTAACATTTATGATTCTACAGCTAATTTATATCGACTCATTACGCTTATTTAGCTGTAATTTTTACACTTATTTTGTTATTATGTCATCTACAAATAAAAGTAACAATAAAATTAAGAAATACGACTGAAATGAGCGAAAACGGTGACAATGCTGGGCATTACGTTTCTTCCGATTATTGTGTAATAAAATAACAACGTGAATTAAGAACAGTGATGTTAAAAAAATAATGACTGAACGGAGTAGCGTTACAACTTCCTGATCTTGTTGCTGTTTATTTGTAATCAGTAATTACCGATATTTACTATTGCATGCAAGTTCGCAATGCAAAATATATCTCATCATAAAATTTACGGCTACTTGCAACAAAATCCTTAAAAAAAAATTTTTTATCAACATATAAAATATATATATATATATATAGAAATGTGATAGAAATAATTATTGGATATTCATTTGTATATGTATATATATATCAAAGTATATAAATACTAAAGATAAGTACATACATGAATGTAATTATTATTGATCTTTGGTAGACACTGCCTCATCAATTATTTCATCAAGACCAAGATAAAAAAAAGTACATAAAGATACTTATGAAACGAATACAAGTAATATGAAGTTGTAAACATTTCATTAAGAACTGCTGAAGGACTGTTTGTGCGATATATTGTGACAAAAAAATGTGAAAACAAAATCAGTGCGAAAAAGTAAAGTTATAATTCGTATAATTATATAGAGATTATTTTAAAGTAATTATTATTTAAAATAAATCTCAGCTTTTTAATTGACTGTCCTACTTCACCTTTAAATATCATATACATCGCGAAAGCGAAATTTAAAAAAATAGGGGAATAGGTGCTTAAAAAAATGATATGGAAACTATAATCATCATTATATTCACCTACACCTAATTTACATATTTTCTTTAAATATCATACACTACTTTATACATAATTAAACTTTAGTTTTGTTATTTATTTCACATGCGTGCATTTAAATATCAATAAGATAAAATATAGTGGTGATAGACATATTTTTATTTACTGGTAACTATTTTAAATTTACTTTCATAAAACTAGAACTTAAAGAATTTAAATAATACATTGCATGCTGTTTTAATAAAAGATTACATTTTTCCAATTAGTATATGATTAACATAATGTAGAAATATAAATTTTTAATTACTCTGTGCTTTTGATCAATGGTTTAAATATAAATTAATTTTTTGTTTATAATCTATGTCATATATCAGTTCATTTTAAATAAAACTTTTATTATTAATATGTAGAAGGTATTTAACTACGTTAAAGAATTAAAGAGCCTATCAATCACGTACAAAAATAATAGAAATATTTATATAGATATTCGTTTATATTTGTAGTGCAATTTTATATCATACCGAAAATAAATCCTCAGACGAAACTATCTAATAATATATAATCAACACGTGGAATTATATTTTAAATGAGAAAAATCTGGACGTTTCAATTATACCGCATAATCATTTACTCATTCAATTTTTATTTAGCTTACAAATAAGCGTTTTTTTCGTTTAGAAGTAAAATAATGCTATTATAAACTTGGAACAATTATTAGTTAAAAGTAAACTTGTATTTTACTATAAACAAGAGGTATAGAATATTATTTTGAATTATGCATATTTGCTTTATGCCGTGATTCAAATTTACGGTTCTGTTAACATATTAGTAAAGCGAGGGTAAATATATACAGATTAAGTTGTGAGGGAATATTGTAAACGCATGGAAATTTCCATTAATTTAATTCGTATTAATTCTATACTTATGAATTTCATATAATATGATCATTTTAATTACATTCACAGTTAATTATTGGAAAAAAGATACTAGTTTTTCAAATTACCATTGAAATATAATTTTATATCTTAATGCGAAACGTGTATTAATAAAAATTTTATCTTAAATGATATAGGTATTAAGGCAATTAATCATTACACATTTTTTCTGAATTAAAAATATATGTGCGCATGTGATATTACAAGTATGTGACGTTTCTGATCATCCGATATTACGTCATCAGTATTCCCCCTTTTTGTAACTGGCGCTCGTTCTATCGTGAAACACCTATTCGCATATATTCGGTGTATTTAAACGTATTTTATACATTAAAAGTGATTACTGTATTGTGTAAAATTAATGTTTATTTAATCGTGATAGCTAAAATTGCAATTATTAACTAATTTACTCCAACAATCAAGAAATCTTAAACAACGTAACTGTACGTTTTAAAACCGTATGTTATCTTAAACCGTAAAAATAAGGACTACAAATCGTATTCATTCTATTTTCTAATTCACATCTTAGGCGGCAATTTCAAACATTCAGTAATTCATATTGAAAACTATTTGTACGTAGGAATAATTTACTCATTCAACGAATTTTCATAATTGTATGCCTTATTTAGGCTTGTACTAAAATTTAAATAATAATATTTATAAGGTTTATATTGTAATTAACAGAATAATCTTAATTACGTTGATTTTTCCTTATAATACCATTTAAAAAAATATAACCAATTATGACAATAAAATTTGGAATACGTAGCTCCTACGAGCTTGTTACGTGACTTCTTTCTTTCAAAGTTAGAATAAATTATAGAAATTCTGGTTGAAAATCATCCGCAGCACGATATTTTGGTACTTTTATTCCCGACAGTTGTGAAAAGAAAACTAGATTCAAATAAAGGTATTGGTACGGCTTCTTGTCCTCGTTCGTAATTCCCGTATTCCTTGAATACACATATATTTCTTAGTTCGTTAGTTGGGGTTCATAGTACTGTTATTCCGCCCCTGATTGCACATTGAAACACTTGCAGTGCGCAGAATATCCACGACAAGTGTCGTGGCAGACGTCTGCTGCATCAGTTGTTAAATAGTATGTAATAGTAACATGAAACGTAACATTTGTATAAATGTCTGTACGTATTTTTATTTAACATAAGTTTTTTTCTACAAATTTCGTATCACAACTTGGCAAAATTTACAAGTTCAATAAACTCTTAACGGAACTTCGATTTTTCGTCATATACTATTACTTACTGGTGTAGTTGTGCGATATGAAAAAAATAGGGCGTGAAAAGGTTCAATCAATTCACTTGGAATTTATAAAAATTTTAAAGTACAAAAAATATATATATATATAATAGACATTACACATGCCAATAAATTAGAGAATGCCGGGTGAACAAGTGATTTAGTTCTGCACATTCCTTGTACAATTTAATTGTTAATTACGTTGTATAAATATTGTATTTGTAGTTCACTGTTTTGTGTTACATTTTGTTTCGTGTGTTCTTTGTTTTAACCTTAAAATATAATTTTTGACATGTTAGGTGCTTTGCAGGGGCTAAATGTATGTCAGTAAATTTTTAACAAACAATAACATGTAATAACACCAAACATGATTAATTTACACAAGTTTCGGCACATTTTTAATCACTTCTTTGTGATTATGCGGCTATTTACAACTATTTTGTAATAATAATGATTTGTAATTCTCAAATTGTACTAATGACATTGATCAATAATTTTAAGATAATTTTAAAAGGCCAGGTAAACGTTCGTTAATTACTGTATAGGTTATTAATTATGTAAAACAATATTTTGATAAGTAATTCATACATATCTAAAAGTACTTTGAATAAAATTTTAATTTTACATTTTTTATTTTTCTAAAATAATATTTCCAGCAGTTAGGAAATATTCTCCAACTTGTTATTGAAGAAACAGAATATGAATATGTAGCTTTATAGCTTTCAATAAATTTATAAATTTGCATGCAATTTAAATGAAGTTAACCACAGTATTTTAATAATCCATATATCACATATTTGTTTATGTTAATAACTTGAATTATTACATGTTTTGTAGGGTTTTTATGGATCTGACATTGAAACTCTAAAAAATGTCTAGGAAGCGTGTGAGAGAAGAAATTATGTTGAATTCTACACCATATTCAGATATTCAGAATGGGGAAGATGCATCATGCTCGAAAGAAGATTCTCCCATTTGTCCTGTAAGTATTAATATATATTTTATATAACTTTCATTAATTGTAAAGGAAGACTAGATTTAATATAGCTTTTTGCTTTCATAGTATCTACATTCCTCTATCAGATTTAAATATATTTATAAAGTAAAAATTATAATTTATTCTTGGTAAGTTTGTTTCCTATTTAAATTACAGCCAATACATAGTTATTATGTTTAATATAAAATATCACAATGTAAGCAATGTTATGTATGGTATATCTATGTGTATTAATTTTATCTTCTAAGGTATTATGTTAACTATATACAAAATGTATATACACATTACTATTGCATGGAAGGATTATCTATAATCTGTTAGTGATAGTATACTTTTAATATCATATGTAGAAGCAAGAACTCATGATAATGGTATGATGTGATGCAAGATCATGAACATATCTAAATTAATATAATACGTGGATATTCCATTCCTTAAATAGTCTTGTTGGAATGGTTTGCGAGTAACAATATTAACACATGCTCCAATGTATATATATAAAAATAAAGAATTTAGTACAACATAGTTACAAATTTAATCTAAAATAATTAAGATATTATTATTGAAGAAAGTTTGTTTGTTTTTGTTAGAAGAATAAATTAAAATTGTGATAAAAATTTAATATTAAATCAAATTGACATGTAAATTTATTCCCATTTTTAAAAAGATACATTTTTTTAATGCTATTAACAGCTGGTGACAATGACTTGGGGGACCAACAGGAATTCAAATAATGAATCAAGTCAAATTTCACTAAAAAAGTGTAATAGTGAAATTTTTGTTAACCACAAAGAACTTCCAGTGAGTTTCATTTATTTTTTTTTTTTTTTAATAATTTTTCCACTGCTTAGTACCATACAGTATAATATTTTTATATTTTTTTTATATTAAAAATAAATTTAAACTATTATCTATATTATATGTAAAATACATTAAAATAAAAAATATAAAATACTGAAATTATTTTTTTTTATCTTAGATATAAAAATTTTTTCGTTATTAATATAAACAAATATCTATTTATATTAATTTTTAAAATTATGCTTAATACTTATTGTACATATTTCATATAATTTTAGTTATACTATTAATATTTTTCTTGATGTATTTTAGTCAATCTGTAATGAAGCTCCTTTCAGTGATGATCCAGAAGCACTAGCTGAAAGAAATGCATGTGATTATAATATACGCATTACATTGAAAATGGCAAAAAATGGCAAAGGTTAGTTTGAATAGAAGTATCTTCAATATTCTTTACAATTCTTTAACTTCATTTACAATGTTAATGTACATGTTTTAGCACCAAGGAGAATCAGGGTATATGCAGATGGTATTTATGATCTATTTCATCAAGGACACGCGCGGCAACTTTTACAAGCAAAAAATATTTTCCCTAATGTATACCTTATTGTTGGAGGTAAAAGAAATAAATAGTATTTTCTAAATACGTTACATATACGATTTTCGTAAAATTTATAATTCTTATCATATTTTAGTTTGTAATGATGAACTAACACACAGTAAAAAAGGCAGAACAGTCATGACAGATACTGAAAGATACGATGCAGTAAGGCATTGTCGTTATGTAGATGAAGTAGTTAGGGATGCACCTTGGGAATTGGATGATGAGTTTCTTACAAAACATAAGGTAAAATTAAATATATAAATTTTTTTTTTTTGCGATATACTTAAAGAAGCGTTAACTGTCTGATGTTTAATTTGATAGATTGACTTTGTTGCTCATGATGATATACCCTATATGACAGATGACAGCACAGACGTTTATGCAAGTTTGAAAGCTAAGGGTATGTTTGTAGCTACTCAAAGGACAGAAGGAGTGTCAACATCAGATATTGTAGCAAGAATAGTCAAAGATTATGATATGTATGTAAGAAGAAATCTTGCACGAGGTTACAGTGCCAAAGAGCTCAATGTTTCTTTTCTCAGTGTAAGTCCATATTTTTTAAATATAATATACGATCACACTTTATATCACATAATGTGCTATTATAGGAAAAGAAATTCCGTTTACAAAATAAATTTGATGATTTGAAAGATAAGGGTAAACGAGTTATGGAGAACATTGGTGAAAAACGTATGGACATAATTAGTAAATGGGAAGAAAAATCTCGAGACTTTATAGATGCTTTTCTTCTACTGTTTGGAAGAGAAGGCAGATTGGTGGGTAGCATTTATGGAGGAATAATTTTGTTAATTATTTTATATTCCATGTTAATGGTACATTGCAAAATATGCATTACAAGAGAATAAACAATAGTTTCATTATTTGATATGCACGGTTACTCTTACTCTCTTTAATAAAACATGTTTATAGATAAAAATAAAGGTTTTATTTTAAAGATTGTTTTTAAAAAATAATTTGTTGTAGTTTTTTGTTTCGTATGTGTTTTGTTACAAATATTGTATTGCATATTTATTGATGATGATGATATAAAAATGTAAACAGAAAATTTGAATTTGAAATATATTCTAATTCTTTTTATTCCCAGTCGACAATTTGGAATGAAAGTAAAGGTCGTTTAATGCAAGCACTATCTCCTCCAGCAAGTCCCAAAAGAGATGGCAGTCCAAATGGGAGTAATAGCAGCAATAATGATGAAGATCAGACAAGGTACATCACAGCATTTGAGTCCATTGACTAACATGCAACACCACTTCATTCTGTACTGCTTCTATATGAAAACCTTCAATACTTCACACCACCCATTTGCAGCATGTTATGTTAGTATATAATCCCACTGTTTTAATACAATAATTTTAAGCAATTAATACACTATTTAACCAATGCTTGTTATTAAAGTTGCATCTAATTTTCCTTATTCCTTACAAATACTAATATTTGTTTAAATAGAATATAAATATGTGGAAATGCTACGTATTTATATTACATTTTAATGTATATAATTAATATGTTCTGCTTTACAGTCCACCACCGCAAAAGACTGGTCGTTATGAATGTTCACGGAATAATTATTATTTGAGTGATGACTATAGCGATGACGAAGAGGAAAACTTACACTCTAAATGATAACCCGTGTTGTCACAATCGTATTCTTCATTCTGACCAAAAATGTCGTGCAATCTCTTTAAAAATGTTTAAAGATATTTTCATACAGCTATGTGATTTGCTGATATGGATTTTAATGCTGTGCTTGATAGTCTTTCTATGGTATGATTTCATACTATATACAATATAAAATTATTATCTGTTATGGCATAGAAATTGAATCCGATTATGGATTATTATATACAAATTAATATACGTATTATGCATGAATTACATACAGAAATCACATAGATTATTTAAAACATCATCTGCAACTATTCTGGGGAGTTTCTTCATTATCATTATTTGCATTCTTAATAATAAGTTCCTATGTTTTGAAAGATACTTCATTATTCAATTTCGATTTCATACTTCATTACATGAATTTACAATAGTCTGGAGGTACTTTTTCATACTTTATACAGAAAAATTTGTTTCGTATGTTCATTTGATGATTTTCAATAATAATAATCAATTATTTTATTCCTAATTTTATATAACATTTTTTACAAGTTACCTCATAAATAATCGTTTAAATGTTACATATATATAGATATATTGCAAGCAATATTTTTTGTTGCAGTAAGTATTAAGTTATGTTATAACTTATTACTGATGTAATCAATGGTACCAAAATGTAAAGTAGCGAAAAATTCGTCGAATATTATATAAATTTTATTTAAACGTACCAAGGAGATTACAAAAGTGAATAGCACAGAACAAATTTAAATGTATTATTTTACAGATGATTAGCTTAGTTATGCATTATTTATTTTAAAAAACAAATTCACTCGTTTTTAGCATTCAGTGTTATCTTTTGAGAAAATAATTATTCGAGCAGCAAATTAATAATAACTTATTTTTATCATTAGATAATTTTGTGTAGGAAGATATTAATAGAATTCGATTGATAAAAATTAATCAAAATCAATTAAATAAGCATTATAAGATGATATCAATATAGAAATCGTGTTTTAAATATGGTGCTTTTATTTAAAAAATATGCAGATATGATAACCCTGAAATGGTACAACCATTTTTGTACTTTTAAATCATAACATAGTTTTATAATAGCATATTTATCAAGTATGTGAATGAAATATTTTTTAATACATAGGTAAATGTATAATAAAGATTATTTATTCTTATGTTCAATATGTAGTATCCAAAATAATGTAATTTTTCACATAAATTGTCTATTCCGTTTATAGTTCTAAGGCTAAGGCTAAAATTAGGAGAATTTTAGATTTAAATCCAAAAATGAAACTAATATGAAAGACCTGTAAAAAATGTGTATAGATTTATATACATTAATATGCTTTTGTTTCTTAAAAACGTACCGATGGTGCCTGAGTTTGAGATTTATTTAAATACATCACAAAATGGTATATTTCTTTAAAGCATGCAAAATTTTAAATACATTAATATTTGCTTCTTAAAAAAAGCTGGCACATAACTTAATAGCATATAATAATACATCGTGTATATTTGATGATTAGACAGAAAGTTGTTCTGTAATTAACAATCTCAAATAATATAAAATTATGTTCTGAGATTTTAAACCAAAATATTTACATATTCATTATCAAAGATTTTAATCTCTACTTAAATGTAAACATGAAATAGAATAATGTTCCGTTTTATTTATATAAGAAATTAAAAAATAAAAATTGTTCGATGAAATCGTATAAATTATTTATACAAATCAAATAACATTAGCAATTATATGTTTAGTATCAATATCGTGTATGAATGTATTTATGAATTGGCGCGACTTTAGTTATAATTTGTAAAAAATTAAAACACGAATAAAAATTAATGAAGTCAATTTAAATGTTTGCATAAATAATTTATTTCGTTTTGAATGGAAGACAATAACTCATTTAAAATTCAATAATATTAATATAAATTTTATTTAAAATTCAACAGTATTAATATAAAACTTCGTTCATTTCTTAAATGTCATACTTGTAATGTTTATTTAAAAATTAATTATCTACTATTTTAAGAATTTAAGTTGTAAACAGAAAAAACATGGCGCATATTCAATGTTACCAAATATTTAAGTACTAAGCACTAAAAAGCTCAAATACTAAATCTTATGTAAGTTTCTTTATTTATAATTTTAATATAATTCTTTTATTTATATATTTGTTGGTGTAGAAATATAATTTGCAACAGTTGTCATTTATGTAATTCGAAGATATAGTGAAAAAATGGTTGGCATCTTGTGACGTAAAAAACACTATACAGATATATGATATTAGCGATAACTTCATCTCAATAGTGATGTTAACGGCGCGTGTGATCTGTCGCTGTCATATATTACTTATTGGTTTTCAATATTTCAAATCAATAAATATCATTAAAATACTATTTTTTATAGTAAGCCATTTTCTCTTTATATATCTTTTAATTCTGTGCACATTATATTTCCATACGAAAATTTATCATAGTGTTATACAAATATTTAATTTGAACTTATCAATTTCTTTGTAAACGATAAAACGAATTGTTCACACCAATCTGAAGTGAGTGAAATAATTGCGTATTAGCGATATAGTTAAAAAAGGAGCAAAATTAGCAATCAACAGATAGTAAAAGTGAGAGTTCTGAATACAAAAAAACGAAAAAAATTTTTAAATTACGTTATTGTGAATAATTACGTCTCCGTACAACTCCATGACAGTCATGTCAGCCTCAGTTGAATGACTATGGACCACACGGATGTTGTGTTCATAATGGATTTTAAATAAATGCCGACGATAAGTGCCTTTCAGTGCCAACAGCAAAGCATATATATGTGAACATATAGCACACACGCACACAGATGCTGAAGAATTCCGTGTACTGTAAGATCCGTGAAAAAAAGTACACCTGAAAGACCTGTTTAGGGTTTGAGCTTCAGTTTTGTCATCATTATTTGGGGGGTGCCATACGTTGCGCTATCGTACTCCACGGTTTTCCCTTATTTTTCTGAATTCTTTTTCTCGCTGGATTCGCCTGTAGGAGGCGCTTCCAATAATCAGTACGAAGAAGAGCGTACGAGCAGAACGATGTTGTAACTAACGGCCAAAATGGAAGAGCAAAGCGTTCATAGCAGTATCAGTGATATAAATAGTGAAGAAACAGTTAGAAATGAACGTAAGTCCGCCGATACTTTCATTTTTAATATCATCCTTTGGAATTTACGTATGTTATTAATTGATGTCTAGACGGAGAGCACCTGTGGTAACTAACCCTACCTCACTCTTTATCAAAACTCACGCGACAATGTTAGTGTCTTATATCTGTCACTCGCCGTGACCCGCAGATAAATCACGACATAATATTCCTTATTTTTGTAGTATATTTTCGTGCAACGTTCTGAATTGACCATTAAAGGAATGTCAGTGGTTCCTTATAAAAATTCGTCCTTGGCTTATTCCACAAAATTACGTCAGAAATGTACAATTTGTCATTTCAAAATATTAGTATAAGTTTTCTTCTTATTCATTGTATACGTATTTGTTTTGAACCGATAATACGTTTCGTATTTGTTCTTTAGTTAAGTTAGTTTTCTATACATATAAACAAATTATTATCAATTGAAAATATATTATTTGTTATGAATTATTTTATTTGAAATACGAGATGATTTTTTATGAAATATTCTGTTTATTGTAACATTATCTTTATTATGTATTTATGTAACTATTTTGTAGAGAAAATATTTCAAAATACATTTGTCAAATTTTCGTTATTAATTAATAAGTAACTATTAAATGTATACAGAAAAATGTCATTAAATTTTCATTAGTAGATAATTCATTAATAATTTCAATGATTAATTGTTAGGTAAACAGAAAATTTCTGTTGGTATAAATTTTGAACAAAAAAAAAAAAAAATGTTCAAAGTAAAATCCTTGAAAAATATTTTTATGAGTAATTAAAGCATTTTACTTTAATAGTTCATAGTGTTTATTGGTATAATTATAAAAACATTTTAGAGTGAGGTTATTTGAAATATCACTGAACTTGTTATTAATCAGTGACTCATTAATAAATAAACAGAAATTATATTTTGAATATCTTCTATCCATACATCTGAAATTTATGTTAGGTTAGTCATTATTTATATATGCTTATTTATGGGGTATTTAAGATATAAAAGTGAAAGGAATAGGGGAGGATTGTTTGGTACCTATTATGTGAAATGAGATTAGGCCTGGAACAATAGATGTTTACTGCACTTTGTGCCTCTGAATGTAAAAGGATTACCTTTACTGTCAATTTCTATGTATTTATTGTATTCATGAATCATCATTCTAAAATTGTCATTCTTTTCAACTGTGGTTATTGTTTGAATAATTAGTGGTTAATTTGTGGTTTTGATAATTTATAGAGTATATATTACTATTAATGTCTCATTCTTTATTCTTCTGTCAATCACTTTTTAAATTTTTATAAAGAATTATTTATAATAACAATAATAAATCATAGTTATTTTTATTGCATGCTTAAATTAATTATTGTTAATGATGTTATCTAACAAAAATTGTTTTTCTTTTAATTTCAGATGTGATTATACCACGTAAGAAAAGGATATGTTTAATTGGTGCAGCTGGTGATGATCCTGCACTTGGTGCAGCTGCTCAGCAGTTTAACGTACCTGTTCTCAAATCAGAAACTGGTTTAGAATATGTAGAAGATACAGCATATTGTACTTATTTTATATTAAAAAAGTTTGAGGGACCTGAATATGATGCTCTTCATAAAAGTGCTCATAGGTTCGTCGTATCTCTTTTCATATATTAATTTCCTTAAAGATAATAAAAAAGCTTTGATTTTCGGTTATATTGCAGAATTTTGGGACCGACGGCACTTCTGCAATTGGCAGAAAGAAAGGACTCATTACCTAGTATTAATAGACCAATGTATACACAAGCTATGGTAGGCACAGTAGTAGTGTTTACTGGATTCAGGAAAAAAGATGAATTGGTATGTCTCAAGTTATTACTTCATAATATATGATACTGTAATTTTTAATATATTTGTTATATTAATGATTGATATTATAGACTAAACTGATCAACATGATTCACAATATGGGTGGAAGTATTAGAAAAGAAATGGGTGCTAAGGTGACACATCTCATTGCCAACTGTTGTGGTGGAGATAAGTATCGGTATGCTGTTACATTCAGGGTCCCTATTATGTCAATGGAGTGGGTAATAGCACTATGGAATGCCAAAGACGATATTTCCAATTACGGAAATAATGAAGAATTGGTAATAATCTGAATAATAATAACAACACAAAAGCTACACAATCATCTTTTGTTTAATTTTTATTCATATCATCTAAGTCTTTACTAAAGAAAATGGAAGAGTATATAGAATTAAAAAATTTTACATTTAATGTGCAGAATTATTATTTTTACACAGATTACAACCTATAAACTAAAACCATTTTTTGGTGCAAAAGTATGTTTTTTTGGTTTCCCTGAAGAGGAAAAGCGTCATATGTGTGAAGTTTTACAACAGCAAGGCGGTGAATCTACAGAAATTGATGATCCTAATTGTACACATGTGGTAAGCTTATCAAACATACTCGATAACCAATGAATTTTATACACAGCATACAACATAAGCATTTGATACACAAAGAACACTACATTCCTTAGGTAACAGATTTAGGAAGTCATCAATACAAGAAATCAAGCAGTGCTTTTGATATGCTACCATCTACTAAAAATCCTAATTACACTTCAGACTATATGGAAACAAAACCATTTTCCTTTACTTTCTATAACCCATACACAAATACTATACCTAATATGAAAAAAGTAAATCCTTTATCTATCTGCAACAATAGCCACATTAATTTAATAAACAAGCAAAATAATAGTCATCTTCCATTTAACTTTTGTCCTTGCATTCATCAGTATTTAGAATGTAAAGAAAACAGATGCAATCATTCTGTACCAGATGATATCAGTCAGGATTCAGCGATCTGTATAGATGATAATTTAAACGATTATCTAAGTATTCCAGATGAATCTTACAATACGTCTAAATCATCAATATTACGAACTGATTCTGGTATCGATATGTCTACAAAGTATTCTAGTATGATATCAACAAATGATTTAAGTGCATCGAAACAAACTAATTTTCTTGCTCCATCTACTATGCTGGACATGTATTCTGCATTTCCATATTCATTGGACTATAGTAACAAAAGAATTGGAAACATTGTGTCAGATGTTATTTCAAACGAGAACAGTGATAATGGTAATGCATATACTCGACCGGGGTTACATAATATTAAGTCATCTACATTGTGCAAGAAAAGAGTTACTAGATACATAAATAATCACTGTTCTAATAGTAAAGCTCATTTATTAAAATTTTGCAAGAATACACAATGTCCACATAGTTCTATTTTTCTTAACAAGAAAATTACAACCCCTAGGAGACATATTAAGTGGAGTAAAGCTAAGTCTTATATCTCCATTCGCAAAATCACTTCACCAGATAAATTCAAATTTAAGAGAATACATTCTCAAC